GCACCTCAGTGAATGCCGTGTTCCTGGTGCTGAGTCCCATTTTTGGTGATTTAACATAAAGCATCCATGAAACACTGTGACAGAGGCATCACTGTCCCCCATTTATCAGATGGCGAACCGAGGCTCAGAGTACTCGCATGACTCCTCTGAGTCACGCGTCTCCTGAATGAGCAAGCTGCGATGACAAGAGAGCCCACTGTCTTATCATCACCCTCATCATCACCTCCCTGGCGAAGAAATAATAATGAACTTGTGCGGCTGTTTATGTTCTTACATTGCCTTCCTCTGAATGTGCCCTGTTGCTGTTGACCTCTGGTCTCCGCCGCCCCTGCTGCTCCCTCCCTCCCACTAGGTCCATGCTCTGTACACCCTCACTGCGCCTCTCTTGGCCTTCAGATCCTACCTCCTCCAGGAAGTCTTCTGTGATGCACCTGCTCTTCCCTAGTGTGTGGAATGCCCTTCTAGTATGCTACTGAAATGCCAGCTTGCTCTGGGGCTGGAGAATGACCTCCACTGTCTGCATCCCTCACTACAGCAGGCTTCGATTTGCGACGCTCCTCCTGGATCCTTAGCCCCGCGGCCGGTGACTGTTGGAACGACTATCTGCCCGGCAGACACTGCCACTGGAGTCCTTTCCCCTCTGGCACCTGCAGTCCCATGAAGAGGTTCCCAACTTCATTTCTTCGAGACTTGTCAAAGCTCTAACGACCCCGTCCCATGGATCGGGGAGCATCCAGCATCGGCCCAGATCCAAGATCTTACCCTTTCCCTCTGGCTGTGTTTGCTGCTAACACTTGACATACTGCCAAGGGCCCCGGGGTAGAATGCCCTACAGGGACGCAGTTCCAGGGACCCAATGTTACAGCCACTCTCCTGGCCCCAGTCCCTGCCCCAGGGGGTGGGCTCAGCCAGAGGAACCTGGCTGCAGCAGGGCATGGGGACCTGCCCTCTTGATTTATGAGGGCTAGTTGCACCTGCCCCCCTGTTCTTAGCACCCACAAAGCAACCCACCTGTTCTCTCCATCCCTGCTGCTGCCACCCTGGGTCAGAGCCCCAACGCCATCTTTTTGCCTGGGACGTAGCAAAGGTCTAACCGGCCTCCCTGCCTCTAACCCGTCCCTCTCATTGTGTGAAATCCCACTCAGGGAGTGATCTCCCTCGAATGTCAATCTGACCGTGATTAAAGCCCTTTGGCGGCTCCTCACTACCGACAGGTCAGTATAAGCACGGCCAAGGCCCCTCCGGTCAGCTTCATTCTTTGTCACTGCCGACAGGCCTGTGCTCTAGAATGCCAACGACCAGCATGTTCTCCTTGGGCTCCCTACTTTTCAGCTGCTCTGCCCTTTACCTAGTACTTCCTTCGTCTTATTTGTTCAATTCCTTCAATACATATTTGTTAAGTGCTTATGATGTGCTTCCCTCTCTGCTAGAGAAAGGAGTCCCCAGGGGTGAACAAGACAGGCAAAGTCTCTAAGGGTCTTATATTCTGGTCTTCTATTTGGGAAAAGAGATAGGAGACAGTTGCACGAACCAACTAATTGTGAATAGGAACAGGTGCACTGACGAAAAGAACCTGGGGCACATCACAGTGACTTCTAGCTTTACTGGAGGGGCGGGGCGGCGCGGGGCAAGTTTCTGAGGATGCCTGGGGGCAGGGGGTTCCAGGCAGAGGGGAAGCAAGCACAAAGGCCCTGCCTTGGGAATGAGCCTGGAATGCAGAAGGAACAGAGAGGTGGTGGGTGTGGCTGGTGCACAGTCAAGGGCACAGTGTTTGGGACAAACGCTGTGGAGAGCGCTCAGAGAAGGCTGCCCTCTCGCTCCTGGCCCTCCCTGCACCCAGAGAGACCATCCTCTTGGCATCTCTAACACTTGTTACGTGGCAAGTGACTTCCGTATAGGGACGGGGTCAGCCTCTAAGTTCAACCCCGGTGCCCTACATGGTGCCCGGCAGATGGCTGGCATTCACACATGCTTGTTGAGCAAATAAATGCAGTCACAGATTATGAGAAGGACCACTGACACCGTCCCCACCCCGATGACCCACCAGGGGAAGCTGGTGGTAGGAGAAGCGGGCTGGGTCATGTCTAAAGGGAGTCCCACTTTGTGAGGCCCTGAACAGTGCACTTGGGGGACTCACTGATGGGGACAATTAACTGACGGCTTCGTCCTGCCAAGGCTTTTTATATGAGTCTCAAAGGCAAGAGAATGGTTTTCATTTAGTGTTTGGGGGAGAAAGTGCCGAATGGGCACTCAGATATTGATGATGATGGCAAATACCGATTTGAGCAGGAAGGAAAAACCAGAACACAGCATTTGTCGAAACCTGTAAGTGCTTCCCAGAATCTGAGCCAGAGTTCAAGTGCTTAATGGTATTCTTTCCTCTACTTCCAGTGGGAGTGAAGGGCAGACACCGGCAAAGGCATGGAGGGTGATGAGGGGAAGGGCCGGAGCTTGAGGGGACCCCACTGTGCCCTGGGGGCTGAATACCGGAGGGCAGGGTGGCAGCCTTCTGTAAGCGCTCTCCACAGCTGTTGTCCCAAATACTGTCCCGGTAAAGAGCCAGGTAAGTGCGTCCTCCAGACCTTCCACAGGCACCCTCCCCTGCCACTGGGAGCCGAAAAGAATTCTCATGACGTCCAACATAAGAATATAACCAATAACAGTAATAGTAATAAAACAGAATTCTGACTCTTTCACCTGCTCACAATATCCTTCCAACCTGCTTCCTGCCTTCCTGATGCTCAGCTTCTGCTGTTCTCCTCCTCCCCCTCCAGCCCCCGGGGAACCTGGCCATCCTGCAGGTCCTCATACCGGCCCTGCCCCAGGGCCTTTGTACTGGCCACAGCCCCCTACCTGGAATGTACTTTCCCTGCTCTGCCACCTCCCTCCCCCTTTCCTGAGGTATAATTGGCAATATAAAAAAAATTACACGTCATGAAAATAATTTGGTGAGTTTGGACTTATGTTACCTTTGGGTTACTTTCACCACAATCAAGGTAATAAACATATCCATCGTGCCCCCCCCACCCCGCCCCGCCAAGTTTCTTAGGTTTTTTTCTGTGTGTTACGAGTGTGGTCAGAACACCTGACATGAGATCTACCCTCTTAAAATGTTTAAGTGCACCATGCCCTGTTAACTACCAGCACTACGTTTCACAGCAAATCTCTGGGACTTACTCATGTGGTGTAACATGGTGTAAACCGAACAAGGGCTCCCCATGACCCCGCTCCCCATCCCCTGGTAACCAGCATTCTGTTGTCTAGCTCTGTACGTTTACTATTTTAGATGCCTCCCCCGTGAGGTGTCATGCAGTATTTATCCTTCGGTGCCTGGCTTCTTTCACTTAGCCTACCGAGATCTCCCTGGCCCACCCATGTTGTCAAAGGGTAAGAGTTCCTTAGTTTTTAAGGCTGGACAACGTTCTATTGGACACAGGCAGCACATGTGATCCGTTCATCTGTGGGTGGGCAGGGGGGTTGTCTCCACCTGCAGCCAACATGAGTAAAGCTGCAGTGACCAGTGCACATACTGTCTTCGGGGATCCCGATCTCAAGTGTTTGGGATACATCCCAGAAGTGGGACTGCTGGGTCATAGCACAGTCCTCTTTGTCATTTCTGGGGGAGCCTCCCTCCCGTTCCGCACAGCGGCCTCAGCATCGTGTATTCAACCAGTAATGGACAGCGTTCCAATTTCCCCACGTCTCACCAATTCCTGTTATCTTTTGTTCTTTGGTAAACAGATATCCTAACAGGTGTGTGGAGGTAGCTTATTGTGGCTTTGATTTCTATTTCCCTCACCCCTTGCTCTTCTATGGCTGGTTCTTTCCTGTCATTCAGGACTCAGAGGGAACATCACCTCCTCGGAGAAGCTCCCCCTGCCGCCCCACGACCCTGCAGACCAGGGGGGTAGCCCAGCTGCTCATTAATATGCCACCATGGAGCACTGGCCACTGGCTGATCACTTTCCCTGAAGGTTCATATAGTTGTCAACTGTTTCCCCCCGAGAATATTAGCACCACGACCGCAAGGACCAGTGTCCTTTTGTACCTGTGAGGGCTCAGTGCTCAGAACAGGAAGGCCCTCAGTAAATGCTCGCCTAATAAATTACTTGTGTGTCTAATACTGAGGGTCAAGGAAAGGGAGGAAATACTTATTGAGCATCTGACACATGGTCAGGGCTGAGCCAGATGTTTCAAATGCAATTTCGTACTTAGTCTCACAACACGCCTTAAAGTTTTGCGTCTCCATTCGGTGGTTGAGGAAACGGAAGCACAGAGAGGCTGAGTAACTTGCCCGAGGTCACATACTTGGTAACTGGACAAACCCAGGTCAGCCTGACCCGCCACGTCCTCCCTGCCTTTTTCCTGACAGTGTGCTTCTTCCCCATTCCCTGCTCCCCAGAACTTGGAAGTCACTCTCAACTTGGCCCCTTGCTGGCTGTGAGCAACCCGCTGAACCTCCCTGTGCCTCCATCTCTCCACTCCCACTGGGGAAAGAGAGAGGGTCTCTGTGAACATCAGATGAGAGATAACAGGAAAAAATGATAAGCAGTGAAGAAATGGGAAGATACGGGTGCTAGCGTTGCCTGTGACCAAGTACCGAACACTTCCTTCGCCTAGGCGAACCCTCCAGGAGCCAGTTACTAGTGAAGATCTTTAATGCCACCCACGCGCTGGCCACACTGAATCCTCCTGACTCTCCCGCATGGGTGCCATGTCCACAAGGACCTCAGAGTTTCCCAGCTACGGAGAGACACGCTGTCTACGGTTTCACGGGAGCTCTGGCTCCGGCTTCCTCCGCTTGGAAACCCCCGCCCGACTCCACCCCGTGCAGGCCGAGCGTCCCCGCTCTGCACCCACAGCAATGAGCATGGAGGGGAGCTGCTGATGCACCTGTCCCCCCCAGCAGCTGGGACGCCCAGGGCAAGCGCGGCGTCCTGTCCACCTCGGGCGAGCCCGGAGCCTGGCGTGGGGCTGGGGGGTCCCTGCGCCCCGCTTACGTTTTCACTGTTGACATCAGCTTCACTGGGGCAGCCGAAGAGCTCTCGCCTCAGGAGGTTGCCGTCGTACTCCAGGAAGGTCAGGTAGAGGTTGCGGAAAAACTCCACGTGCTTGTTCTTCACCCGCAGCTTCTTGGGGGAGTTCCAGTGGATGACCTGGCAGGGCGACAAGGAGGCAGGAAGGCAGGGAGGACCTCGCGCTCGTGCGCAGGCTCGGCTAGCCACCGGTCTAAGCATCATTTGCGGGCATGTCCATTCACTCACTCACTCACTCACTCACTCCTTCACCATTCACGGTGGTGGTGGGTGGTGGGGTGAAGAGGAAGGGCGCTGAGGCCATGCAGCACGGTTTCAAATCCTGCCTCTGACCTTGGGCAAGTGACTTACTCTCTGTGCCTCAGTTTCCTCGCCTGTGAAATGGGGAGAGCAACAGCTCCTGCCTGTACCAGCGTGGAAGCTTCTGTCTCTCAGCTCCCAGCTGCTTTGCGATGCTGAGGTCGGGACTCTGCAAGCCCTACTTCTACTTTGCCGGCCACCTCCCATTAGATGCTGCCTAGGGGCCTGGGGCCGCGAGAGGGAGCCTGGGAGTCTGGGGGAGGAAAAAGGAACGCGCCCCCCCGCCCCGGTGCTTCCTGTTCCTGCAAGTGCCACCCTACCTCCCTTCTTCAAGGCGGGCACTGGGCACTTCCTTCCTGTAGCAGCAGCTAGAACCGTTTTGCAGCTTTCTCCGCGCTCAGGACGAGCCTCCCGGTCCGCCTCTGGAGCTGCCTGCTGGCCCCCAGCCCAGGTTGTGATGCTTCCCACCCCTCCCTCTGCTCCTTCTGCTCCAGGGGCGGGAGCTGTTTTCCTGCGATTTTCTAGTTTTGTTTTTTGGTTACCAAATCAACACTTTCTGTCTAGTTGCCATTTTTAAAGATTAAATTCTCTGTTCGGATGATTGGTATGGTTGCTGCCTCCAGCCAGGACTGACGGATGCACCGTGTCAATACAGCTGCCGTGAAAAATAAACTTGTTCATATGTGTAAAGCATGCAAGTCGTGTCTGGCAAAAGGTGAGCGCTCCATAAAGGCTGGCTAGTAAGTGCTTACGGTGGACCAGGTTGGGAGGGGGCAGCGGTCTCTGCTGACGGTGCTCGCCCTTGGTTGGCAGGCGCCTGGCCAGAGACTTGTCCACAAACGGCACAGAAGGTGATGGTGGAGGGAGGCTCAAGGGGAACGGGAGCCCTGCAGCAGTAGCTCTAGCAATGCACGGGCTGGGGCTTGAAGGATGAACCAGAGTTTCCCGGGAGGCAGGGGCTGGCTGGCACAGAGGGGATGGCGGTGGCACGGTCCAGGCAGAGGGGGGTGGGAGAGGAGGCTGCGGAGGTGAGCGGGGCGCGGGGAGAGCCTGGCTCCACGCAGGTCATGCTCAGAGCTCAGCTGTGGCGCTGGGGAGCTTATGGAGGGGGAGACTACTAACTCCGGGTTTCAGTAAGATGCTCTGATGTAATGGACAAGCCAGGAGTGGGGGCGAGGGAGGCCAAAAGAAGAGCCAGCAGGGACAGCTCATGCCCTTGGCCGGGGAGCTGTCTGGGGCGGGGGGCGGGGGTGGGTCCTTTACCACCAGGATTACGTCATGGTCTTTTAATGCTCAAGGTGACCTGAACAAGGAATGCAATTTTAGAGATGAAGAAACTGGAGAAATGACTTGCCCAAGGCCACAAAGTTGGTAAACGTGGCAACGGGGATTCAAACCTAAGTTTGAGTAAACCTGATTCCAAAGCCCCTGTTCTTCTGTCCTGGAGAAGCCAGATTTTTAAAACTTCCCTGTTCATGCCTGGTCACATTACAGAAGAAATAAACTAGCTCTCACCTTCCCCCCCACTCGCCTCCCATGGTGGGGGGACCAGCATAGCTGACACTGAGACAGAGGAAGGGAATGGGGTGTCCAGAGCTCGGTCCCTTCCTGGCTCCCTCCTTTAGCCACATTCTGTCTGCAGGCGCCTGAACAGGGCCACCATTTGGAGAGATCTGGAAGGCCCCCTCTCCCAGGGTCCCCTGGATATATGGCAGCCACAGACAGCCCTTGCAGCTGGCTGGGTAATACCGCTCTGCAAGACCAAGTCCCTCTCTCATGGCACAGGCAACAACAGGAAACCTATGTGGTACAAACTGCACCCCCTGCCCTCCCATGACCTGCATGGTGCAATGGCAGAGCAAGACCCAGGGACCTCAGGCCAGCCTGACTGTGAATCTCAGCTACGCTCTTCATTAGCTGTGTGGGTTCTTGGGCAGCTGGTCTTATTCCCCGCGGCCTCGGTGTCTTCATGTGCAAGGTGGGAACATGCCATCCCGACTCCACAAAGTCGTTACGAGGCTTAAAGAAATGCCTAGCCCAGTGCCTGCAGGCCAGGGTGGCCCCGAATTCTGTGGGTTCCCTTCTTCCCTCAAAAATGGCAGCAGCAGCCTGCCTACCAGCATTCTGCGCCCCTCTCTCCTCCTGCCAGCAGACCCTCCCTGGGAGGAGGCCACTTGGCAGCGCCTGCATTTCAGGGAGGGAGGAGCATGGCAGGGTGCATTCCCTTCCTGTGCCTTTTGAAGGATGCGAGAGGGAAGGAGAGGGGAGATTCTCCCCCGAGAATACACCAACCTGGGCATGAGAAGGTCCTGGGCCACGCATTAAAATAATTGCATGCGAGGTGGTGTCACTCACACCCTGTGGGGATCCTGTCTTTGCTGCAAGAGATTTTGGTGCTTGCCAAGTGCTGAGCCAGCAGGAAGGCTGATGGATGTCTATCTGACTCAGGAAACTTGAACTTCCTCAACAGGGAGAAACTTACACTAAGTAAAAATAAGGGCTGGCCTGTGGGTCCCCGGACAAACAAATCTTCACTCCTAGTGCACAAATCTGCCAGGCACTTTGGAGACACTGTGTCATTAAATCCCCCAAATATTTGGATGCCACTGTCCATTTTATGAAGACGGTCCCTGACTTGTTTGAATCTCACAGCTGGTAAGAGGCAGAGCTGAGACACGAAGCCAGCTCTCAGCCCGAAACCCCAGGTTTCTTATTGCTATTGTGTACGGCATCAATGGGCTGAGCACTTTGCAGATGAGGGCCGTGAGGCTTACAGAGGAGGAGGCTTGCCTGAGATCACATGGTGAGTTTGGACCAGGTCAAGACTACAACGAGGACCCAGGTCTGTAGGTGCCCCCGACCCGCTCCAGGCCACCCCTTATCCCTCCATATCTCATTCTGTTCTGTGCCCGGGCGGGGATCTGGGTCTGCCTATTGCCTCTGGGTAGATACTGGTGCCTGGTGTTCTAGAAAAAGCAGCAAAAGGTAAAAGAAGGTAGAGGGAGAAGATGGTGGGATCGCTGGCAGGCCAAGGGGATTTGGGAAAACCCTTTGCAACCTGGCTGCCCTGGGACAGGGAAGCCCACTCAAAGGCTTACGCAAAGATCCTGGTGTTTGCCAAGTGCTGAGCCAGCAGGAAGGCTGAGGGATGTGCGTCTGGCTCAAAAAACTGGAGTTTCCCCAACAGGGAGAAACTTAATGTATATTCAGATTTACCTTTTTCTCCTTCCTGTGCTAGGCTCTAGAGAGGTAAATAATAGCTATGTTTACCTAATACCCACTATACACTAGACATCGGGCCATGGCTGGTGTGCGTGCGTGTGTGATGTTCTCACATTCAATCCTCAAAACAACCTGGTAAGGTCGTTTCTATTATCCCCATTTTATAGATGATAATGCTGAAGCCGAGCCTAACGCAGGGTCACTCAACTAGTAAGGAATCAATCCTAATACAAAATCAGGTCCGTCTTGCGCCCAAATGTTTTTCTTTCTACCACATTATTCGTTCGTTTGATACATATTAAAAGGAGCACTGAGCGTGTGCCAGGCTGATAGGGGCCGTGAATGCAAAGATGGACACAAGGATCATGACTCTCTTTCTGGAACTTACAACTGAGAGAGAGAGCAGGATATAAAATAACTGTCCATTTTAAATTACAGGTGTGATATGTTCTCTTAAGGAAATATTGTTAAAGAGAGGTTGTCAGTGATGGTTTCTGGGCAGGGCCACCTCAAGTATAAAGAAACCAAGGCCCAGAGGGAGAAAGTGACTTGCCCAGAGTCACACAGCAGAGAGCGAGAAGTCGTGCCCACATTCTGTCTCCCAGGGCACTGTTCCTTCCACTAAACCGTATGCCTGCTTCGGAAAATCCAACTCAGGATTAGTATTGCTGATCATTTTGATCAGCGCTTGTCTGACTACTAAGAAATGTCATTTCCTGGTCCCTTGAGGGACAGCATCACCCATCATTGCTGGCTTGGGGGCAGGAAGCTGGTGGTGTAGATGACATTTGCTGACAAGCTTTCACACACGAGATGGAGTGACACTGGAGAATGTGTCCTGAAACAGATTTTTGCAAGGAGCTGGTAAGTGCGTGTGAGTCTACCAAGGCTTGTGGAGAAAACCTATCATAACTTATTCCACTTGCCGAGGCACATTAGCCTGGCAATCATAATTATTATCAGGAGCTAACATATACAGGATGTTTGCTACGTGCCAAACACTGCTCTGAAAACTTCGCTGTCATAGCTCATTTAACACACTCATTCAAGGGTATGGGTGATAGTCTCCTTATCCCATCTTACAGATGGGAAGTCCAGCAAGGTGCTCCAAGTTACATGGCTAGGAAGCGGGGCGGCGGTTAGGATTTGAACCCAAAGAGAGACGTTAGGGATCTCTCTCATTTCTCTCGTGTCGGTATCATTACATGACTCCATTCACAGCCATGAATATGAGATTTACAGAAGAATTATGGTATCATAAAAGAAGTCTACTTTCCCCTTCCAAGTACAGGGACCTCGCCCATCCCTGGGATACTGAGGCTGCAGGACGGTTTAGGACTTCTCAGATATAGGGGCTGAGCCTCCAGCTTGGCAGGAAGCAGAGAAGGAGGCATCCAGGGTGTGTGCCAGGTGGGCTGCAGAAGCTGCCAGGCAGCAGGGGCCCCAAGGGTGGGAGCTGATTGGATCTGCAATGTCTGTGAAGGCTGAGTATATGTGCAGACTTGGTAGTCAGCCTGCAGTGAGCCAGAGAAATTGACAGAAATGGATTACTGTCCAGGAAACTTAACCATCATCTGGGAAGACAGCAGAAGTCAACT